ACGAGGGTTGAAGAACTCGAATACATAAAGGAAAATATAGAGAGTGTAGAAGGGATAAGGTCTAAAGAATTGAAAAACGTTATTGAAGATTTGTCAGATGCTAAAAAGGGTTTAGAACATAAGTGTAAGCAACTAAGTTCACGCACAGAAGAATTAACATCTTTATTGCAAGACGCGGAAGATCAGACGGCAATTTTGGACAACGTTTTAAAAAACCAGGGAAAAACGGAACAAGACATCAGTATAATCTTGGACTCAGAAGGTACAGAACACATTAGGGAAAACGAAATTAAAAAGCTAACAGCACAAATTGGTGATTTAAAGAAAGAACTAGCGAAGTGCGGACAAACAAAACAGTTACTGAGAACAATTGTGGAAACAAACCAAAACGAAAAAAAAGTTATGGCGTCGATTACGGCAATCATGAAAATAGTAACCAAGGTGGTGCCGTATTTCACGGGCACAGAAGGACCCGATCTACGGAGTGAAGTACACAAGTTTATTGCGGGTTGTGAACTGGTACAACAGGCACTACCGCAAGAGGGAGCACAGTATGTCGTAAGCTGCATAAAACAAAGATTAGTGGGTGTAGCTTACGAGAATATCGCGAGCAGACCATTTAACACAGTAAATGAATTGTGTGAGGCGGTTAAACGTACATTGGAGCACATAAGGAATGATCTAACTTGTACCAAACAAAGACAGAATGAGTCGGCGAGTTCATTTGGAGGTAAACTGAAGGCGTTACTACATGAAGCCGAACAACAAATAAAAAATCAAGGGGGTGAGAGTGAAATTCTGTAATTCACAGTTAGGAGAATACAGGCGATTAACAGTACGTTGTTTTATTAAGGGTTTGAAAGACAATAGTTTAAAACATAGGTTTATTGGGTTAGAGAATGATCCTATCCAGAAACTAATTTTTATTGCAGAATCACCCGAAGAATTATTGGGTGAATCACGTTCAAATATAAACATGTCCACTACGGAGAATCGAACAGATATGAAATGTACGTTTTGTAAACAAGACGGACATGGATGGGCATACTGCCTAGAAAGACAAAATACGCCATACTGTACATATTGTGGAGTATATGGGCATGAAAATGGACACAAATGTAGAGAACATCCTATGGAGACAGTAAAACAAGAAAAATCGGCCTGCAATTTCCGTCAAATTTCGTCTGCAAGAAAATGCACTCTTGCAGTTTGCAATAAGTTCATTGTTTGGCATGCATGGTCAAGGTTATTTTAGTTAATTTATTTGTTGTAAATTAATTATCAATTTTAAATAAAAGGCACAATTGAATTTTTGACAATTCAATTGATGCGAAGCCACATTCGTTATCGATTCTTTTTTGTTCGTTCTAATAGCTTGTAGAGTTGGTTCAAGTACCAAATTTACACCATATAAGCACCTGTCTACTGGATTCAAGTGTTCAGTAATCAGAACACTTAATAATTTAGGACAATCTTCAAATCACTGGGTTCAAGTGCTCAGTGGTTCTCGTGTTCAAATAAGTCAACATAAGTACTGGATTTAAGAGTTCAGTACTTGCAAACAGTTGATTTCAACTTTTGATTCAGCGTGTGATCATACATTTTGGTGTGATCGGACATTTTGGTGACCCCGACGTGATCGTTGGGAACGTCGGTGGTGGAGTATCGTTTGGTGACCATACATTTTGGTGACCCCGTGAAACGGACAGCAGCACAGGATTGGTTTGACGCAGCAACAGTCAACAATCAACAGTCAGCAGTTAAGTTTCAGCATTCAGCATTCGAAGAACATTCTTAAACATTCTTAAAAAACTACAAATCATCAATGACAACTCTTAATGAACTCATAGATGCCCAAAAAGAAAAGGGCGAAGAGATTCAGCGAATCATCAGGAACTTCAAAAAGGATTCGGCTGAACGCAAACAAACATCAGCATACTACAGTGAAAGATTTCGTCGGCTTGATGTTGCTTGGAAGCAGTTTGAACAAACTGACACAATGCTCAGAACTCTCATCGATCAACCGACAGATGATGAGTATTTTACATCTTCCTATTACGAGAAAATAAGAGAACTAACAAATGAATACAGTGAAATATTCAACAGAGAAGCCCTTCGGATCAAAGCAGCAGACAACTTTGGTGAAGCTGCTAGTAACCAAAAGGCATCACAGCCGCTACTAGTGGCTACGACAAATGTTTTGATAAGAAAAATATCTGCTGGAATGGCAGCTCTAAAAAGATTAGTAGAGAGTTTGTCAGAGAGCGAAGGCATTCAACCAATTCAATATTACGAAATTAAATCAAACACGATCATGCAACATTGGAACCAATTGGGATGTTTGCATGATGAACTCTGGGAAAACTTTGAAAATCCACTGATGTCAGGATTCAATCAAGATGAGTATTACCAAATTGAAGATTTGGTACAACAATGTTTGATAGAGTTGTCCATAAAATTGAATAAATTACAACAGAAACAAGCAACAGTAGCAGAACCAAACATGCGGTCCTCACTGCCATTGCCAAAGGTGACAATCCCAAGTTTTAATGGGAATTACTTAAAATGGAGGCAATTTTTTGACTTGTTTACACAAATGGTAGACAAACAGCCACTACCAGCTGCTCAAAAAATGTGGTATTTGAAATCACATGTGACAGGTGAAGCTGAAAAATTAATCAGTCATTTCAGCATAACGGAGGAGAATTATCCTGCAGCCTGGACATTATTACAAGACCGCTATAATAATAAAAGGGTCTTGACGTCCACCTTAATCGATGAACTTCTAAATCAGCCATCAGGCACATCAACTGTGGCAGCAGTTAAAAATTTACATGACACAACGAAAGAGTGTCTATTAGCACTGAACAATCTTGGCGTTCAAACGACTTTTTGGGACCCAATTTTGTTACAGGTACTAATTAAAAAACTCGATCGGATGATGCTCATTAGATATGAGCAATCTCTGGCAAAACCAAAAGAGATACAAAACATTCAGGAGTTTTTAGCCTTTTTAGAGCTACAGTTTCAACTGATGGAAGTTGTAGAACAAAAAGATAAGGTGGCTATAAAAATTAAAGCAAATCGAAATAACTCAGTGTCATCGGCTGTAACAGTTTCTAAAGGAAACAACAATTGCAAAATGTGCAATGTAGACAGGCACCCACTGTATCATTGCTGTAAATTTTTGCAATTTTCACCATCTCAACGATTGGATTGGGTGAAAAATCAACAGCTCTGTTTTAACTGTTTCAGAAATGATCATATGGTGAACAAATGTTCATCAAGAAGTTGTACCAAATGTAATAAAAAGCATAACACGTTGCTACATTTGGAAGTTAACAACCAAACAAAACAGAACATTCAACCTAGCTCAAGTGGGTACAACACCGCAGTTACCACAGCGACAGCAAACACATCCACAGGTCATCGTGATTATGTTCTCTTGCCAACTGCAAGAGTCAAAATAACTGCATCTAATGGAAATACAACTGAAGTCCGAGCATTACTAGACTCTGGTTCGCAAGTGAACATAGTCTCTGAGCGTCTTGTCAAAAGGCTCAATATATCAAAAACGAAATCGTTATTGTGCATAGAAGGTATAGGAAAGGTGCAAAAAAATTCAACGCAGCGAGTTAACATCAAATTGCAATCACTTAACTCAAGGTTTACTACAGAAGTCGAAGCGTTTGTGCTTCCAAATATAGTTCCACCTCAACCAAGTTCCAGCTACGATATTTCCAAATGGAAGGTCCCGAACAGCATTCAGTTAGCAGATCCAACATTTTTCCAACAAGGGAAAATTGATATTTCACTCGGTGCGGAGTTCTATTTTAGTCTGTTAAAGAAAGATAAATTAACGCTTGCTCCTGGGCTTCCAGTTTTGCAAAATTCTACACTTGGCTGGATTATCAGTGGCAAGGTTGCATCAAATACAGACACATCAAACGTTTTATGTGCAGTTTTTGGCGGTCGGGCGGAGGTTGTTGATAATAATTCATCGTTAGAAGATGCAATTGAACGATTATGGCGAATGGACGAGATGAATACAACAGAGAGGACATTATCCAAAGAAGAAAAATTATGCGAATCTCATTTTGTTCAGAACGTTCATACACATAAAGAAGGACGTTTTGTGGTAAGGTTGCCGTTTCTGGAAAACTCATTGACGTTAGAGAAATCTCAAGAAACAGCTTGGAGAAGGTTCATCAGTCTTGAACGACGACTAGCAAAAAATGATGTTTTGCGGAAACAATATGTCCAGTTTATGGAAGAGTATGAGCGATTGGGTCACATGACTGAAGTAAACTTGGATTCCATGTTGACTCCAAGATATTTCATTCCTCATCATTGCGTACTAAAACCAGATAGTACAACTACTAAACTTCGAGTGGTGTTTGACGCATCAGCCAAAACTACATCTGGACACTCGTTGAATGATTTAATGTATAACGGACCGACAGTTCAAAGTGAACTTTTTTCAATTCTGCTCCGTTTTAGGCGACCACGGTTTGTTTTCACCACAGATAGCGAGAAAATGTATCGTCAAGTTTTGATAAGTCCTGAAGATCAGCGTTATCATTTGGAGAAGCAGTCCAAATTCTACTCTTCGTTATTATCAGCTAAACACAATTACATATGGTACTCGAGCAGCTCCTTACCTAACAACAAGATGTTTGCAAAGGATAGCATCAGAAAACAAGGTGAATTATCCATTGGGAGCTCAAATCCTGTGTGACAATTTCTACGTTGACGATGGGCTCGGTGGATCAGATAGTTTAATTACGGTTATTGAAGCTCAAAGGCAATTAATCTATATTTTAAAGAAGCATCACTTTTATCTACGGATGTGGAGTGCAAACCATCCTCAACTTTTGAAAAACATTTCTCAAGATGATCAAGAGGTAAATCTAGATTTTACTAATGATAATAACGAGTCAATCAAAACGCTGGGACTATTTTGGTTGCCCAAAGCGGATTTATTTGAAATTAAGGTCAAAATGATTACTGAAGGTATAATCACGAAGAGAGTCGTTAGTTCTGATTTAGCTAGACTGTTCGACCCACTTGGGTTATTAGCTCCAGTAATAGTCAAAGCAAAGATATTCATACAACACTTATGGCAGTTGAATTTATCTTGGGATGAACCACTTTCTACAGATCTTCGTACAACATGGTCAACATTTAGAGAAAACTTAACTACTCTTCAAGAGAAGGACCAGCCGGTATTTTTGTGGACTGATTCAGAAATTGTGTTGTCTTGGATTAACTCACAGTCCTCATCATTTCAAACATTTGTAGCTAACAGGGTGGCAAGAATTCAAACTTTAACTCTGTCTGAACAGTGGCGACATGTTAGGTCAAAGGACAATCCAGCTGATGTATTATCAAGAGGACTTTCAGCAAGGGCGTTGTCAACATGTGCACTTTGGTTTCAAGGACCGTTCTTTTTGCATGGAAGGCAGGAAGTATGGCCACCAAGGTTTTCATCATCATTACAAGTTCCAGTCGATCTGGAGAAGAAGAAGATTGTAGCTGTAGCAACTCAAAGCAATGACGCAGATTTCATATACAGGATTCAGCACAAGAATTCATTTAAGACGTTACAAAAGATAGTAGCATATGTTCTTAGATTCACTAACAACGCAAGAAAATCAAAGGAGTCACGTGGCACACATATAGTACTTAGTGCCAACGAATTGGATGCAGCATTAATAACTATAATATGTCACATTCAAGGTAATGATTTTCATGAAAAAATCAAACAACTGAAGAAACAAGGCAATGTTGATAAATATAGTTCAATCAGTAGTTTATCTCCATTCATTGATAATGCAAATGTTCTTAGAGTAGAAGAACGCTTAGAAGCCTCATCATTACCATACGACTCTAAACACCCAATGCTGATCCCATACAATGATCCATTGGCAAAATTATTATTCGTGATGTTCCATGAAGAAAACAAGCACTGTGGCCCGCAGGCACTATTGAGTATAATCCGACAACGTTTCTGGCCGATTAAAGGTAAATCAACAGCCCGAGCAACGGTTCAGCGATGCATTCGATGCAACAAAGCACGTCCGCAACTATGCCAACAAATTATGGGCAATTTACCAGAACCAAGAATAACTCCTGCAAGACCTTTCATTAATGCTGGTGTAGACTATTGCGGACCATTTTGGATCCACTACAAGGTGAGAGGCAAAAAGCCAACAAAGGCATATATTGCTGTCTTTCGTTGCTTTTCTATAAAGGCGGTACATCTCGAGTTAGTGACCGACTTATCAACAAATGATTTCATTGGAGCATTAAAACGATTTATAAGTCGACGAGGGCGTTGTTTGAATATTTACAGTGATAACGCAACAAACTTCGTAGGCGCCAAAAATCAGTTAGCAGAACTAGAGGAAAGTGTTTATTCTAATGAAGGGCAAGAAGCAATAATTTGTGCTTGCAGTACTACAGGAATAAACTTTCATTTTATTCCACCAAGGGCTCCACACTTTGGCGGTTTATGGGAAGCATTCGTAAAGTCCGCAAAATATTTGTTACTACACAGCGTTTCAACAGCATCATTGACGTATGAAGAACTTGAAACAGTAGTGGTGGAAATTGAAGCGATATTAAATTCACGACCATTGACTCCAATGTCCAAAGATCCAACTGATTTGACAGCAGTTAATGCTTATTAATTGAAGAAGCTCTTACAACTCATGTAGACAGCCGATCAAAACCAGAAAAACACACGTTATTGTCACGTTGGAACCTAGTTTCCCAGTTAAAATATAATTTCTGGAAACGCTGGTCTAACGAATATTTGATGGAACTGCAACAACGTAACAAATGGAAAACACAATCTGCCAACATACAGTTAGGAGACATGGTTATAATTAAAGAAGATAACGTCCCAGTGATGCAGTGGCCCTTGGGACGAATTGTACATGTGTACAAGGGTACAGATGGACGTATCCGAGTAGCTGACGTTAAAACATCGACAGGCATTTTTAAACGCCCAATTCATCGAAATACTGTACTGCTTGTTAATACAGATGATCAACCAACAATGGCTGAAGCTGATCACGAAATACCTCCTGACAACGTAATTATTAAAGATAAAAAAGAGTCGTATAAAGAACCCAAGACAAAACGTAAAAAAACCTGCAAACCCAATTGAAGTTCCACCCGATGAAGAAGCCACCCGCACGACACCTATACTCATGCCACGTCGGCAGTCACGAGATTTCGTTATCAACATATAGTCGGACTGACTACCTGACAACTAGAGGCTCATATTGTTGAACGGTTGTTCAACGCGGGGGAGAATGTTAAATATTATATTATATTGTTATGTATAGATAATTTGTTGTATTATTTTGTATTAATAATTTATTGTAATAATTTCATTTCAAATATATTTTGTTGTAAAAAATAACTTTGTCAATGCAATGCCCAAAATACGTCATATTCTTCTGTTGGCACATGAAAACAAAAGCTTCAAATTTCGTCTGCAAGAAAATGCACTCTTGCAGTTTGCAATAAGTTCATTGTTTGGCATGCATGGTCAAGGTTATTTTAGTTAATTTATTTGTTGTAAATTAATTATCAATTTTAAATAAAAGGCACAATTGAATTTTTGACAATTCAATTGATGCGAAGCCACATTCGTTATCGATTCTTTTTTGTTCGTTCTAATAGCTTGTAGAGTTGGTTCAAGTACCAAATTTACACCATATAAGCACCTGTCTACTGGATTCAAGTGTTCAGTAATCAGAACACTTAATAATTTAGGACAATCTTCAAATCACTGGGTTCAAGTGCTCAGTGGTTCTCGTGTTCAAATAAGTCAACATAAGTACTGGATTTAAGAGTTCAGTACTTGCAAACAGTTGATTTCAACTTTTGATTCAGCGTGTGATCATACATTTTGGTGTGATCGGACAGCTACTTTACCACTGGTAAGCATTGTAGATCATGGTCGGATTTGTATAGCAGAAAGCATGACAATCCCAGGTAGATCAACAATGATTATTTCAGTAAAAGTAGTGCCTAAAGAATGAACACTCGTAATACATAAAAAGGAAATAGTTAGAAATGTCTATTCAGGTGAATGTTTAACAGAAGTAAAAAACGGAATAGGTTTTGTAAGAATTTTGAATGTAAACAACTATGCAGTTTAAATGAATAGTGAAATTGAATTAAAGGGCAGTGATATGAATGAGTACTATGAGTACAATGTTCCTAATGTTAATTTGAACAAAGAAGTAAACTTACAGGAAAGGTACGGAAAATTACTGAAATTAATAAGATTTAAACAATGAAGAAAGACGGTTAATTACGCAGACAATTAAGGAATATAACGATGTATTTCACTTACCAGGAGATAAACTGTCCTACACATCAGTATTGGCACACGAAATTCCAACAAGTCATGATCAAATACCGGTAAATCAACGACAATATAGATTACCAGAAGCACATAAGGAAGAAATTAATAAGCAAATTAGTGAAATGCTTGATGAAGGTATAATAACAAGGAGTAAATCACCATGGAATTCTCCTATCATACTTGTACCAAAAAGGTCAGGTGTGGATGGGGAAAAGAAATGGCGTCTCGTGGTTGATTTTAGAAAAATAAATGAAAAAACAATTAAACAGGTGTTTCCAATTCCTAGAATTGATGAAATTTTAGACCAACTAGGATGCAGTAGATATTTCTCAACGCTGGATTTGGCTAGTGGCTATCACCAGGTGATGGTAGACAGTAAAGACAGGGAGAAAACGGCATTTAGCACAGGTCTAGGACATTTTGAATTTCTTAGAATGCCATTTGGTTTAACAGGAGCACCCGCAACTTTTCAGCGAATTATGAATAGTATTTTAACAGGATTACAAGGGATAGATTGCTTCGTCTATCTCGACGATATTGTTATTTACGGAAGGAATTTAAACGAACACGACCAAAGGTTAAGGAGAGTATTACAAGCACTAAAAGAAAATAATTTAAAATTACAAACGGAGAAATGTCAGTTTTTAAGACGAGAAGTCGTTTATCTTGGACATAAATGTTCAGACAAAGGAATAATTCCAGATCCAGACAAAACCAAGTGTGTTAAGTCTATCCCAGCACCTCGAAATGTTAAGGAACTGCAATCATTTTTGGGACTTGTGAATTATTTTAGGAAATTTATCCCACAAGCAGCGAGTGTGTGTTTACCACTTAATAAATTACTAAGGAAAGGAGAAAAGTTTGAATGGAACGACAGTTGCCAAGAAGCAATGATTAGACTGAAGGCTGCAATAACGAAGCCTCCTATACTTCAATATCCAGATTTCTCAAAACCTTTTGTTTTAACAACCGACGCTAGTAATGAAGCGTTAGGTGCAGTATTGTCTCAGGGAGAAGTAGGTTCTGATTTACCACTTTATTTCGCAAGCCGTGCTCTGAGTAATACGGAGAAAAGATATTCAACTATAGAAAAAGAATTTCTTGCGATAGTTTTGGCAACTAGGAATTTTAGGTCTTACTTATTGGGAAGACATTTTAAAATATTTACTGACCATAAGCCATTAAGAGGTATAGCAAATCTTAAAGACCAAGACGCACGTTTGGGAAGATTCCGATTGAAATTGTTGGAATACGATTTTAAAATTTTGTACAAACCAGGAAAAACAAACAAAAACGCGGATGCTCTGAGTCGGCTACCAATAGCAGTAGTTACGAGAGGAAATAAAAGAGCAACAAATCTAAAGAAAAACAAAAATAAAGTGGAGCAAAATGAAAAAGAAGAAGTGGAAGATGCAAAGGACCAGACGAAAGAAGATTACGCGGTATTTCTAACCAATAAAAGATATATCCAAGAAGTGTTAAAGAATTTCCACGACTCACCTATCGGAGGACATCAAGGGGCTGTTAAAACGTATTTTCGAATACGAAAACAGTTTAAATGGGCAGACATGCAAAGACAGATAAAAGACTACGTCGGAACATGTAAATAATGCCAGAAGAACAAGAGCTCTAGGGTAGATAAAATGCCGATGGTTTTGACGGATACCCCTCAAAGACCATTCGACAAAGTGTTTATGGATATTGTAGGCCCACTACCTACTACAGAGAGTGGGAATAAACTAATTTTAACATTTCAGGATGATTTTTCTAAATATTTGGTATGTACAGCATTACAGGATGGGGAAGCTACGACAGTAGCAAGGAAATTCTTTAACAAAATAATTTCAAAATTCAATATACCAAAAGTTCTAGTGACTGACAATGGGACTAATTTCACATCAAAATTATTCAAAGAAACCTGCAAAATTCTTGGTGTTAAAAAGATACAAACTACTCCATATCATCCACAGGCAAATGGCTCTTTGGAAAGAAGTCATCGTCCTTTAGCAGAATTTTTAAGAAGTTTCGTTAAATTGGATGGATCCAACTGGGATGAGTGGTTTCATCATGCGATGCATGTTCATAATAACACAGTGCATTCTGCAACAAAGCAGATACCATCGAAAACACTATTTGGGTTCGAATTCGAGATTCCTGTAACACTAAAAAGAAAACCAACACCACTATACAACCACGACGATTTTTCAAAAATTTTGAAATATCAAATTCAACGCTCATACGACGTGGTTCGAAAAAATCAGGAGTTGGCAAAACTTAAAGCAAAGATCAACTATGATAAGAATTCTAAAAATAGAATGTTTAAAGTAGGAGATAGGGTATTGTTGAAGAATACAAGTAGAAGAAATAAGTTTTCACCTATTTGGGTGGGTCCTTTCCCAATAACAGAAATTACTAGTCCAGTAAATGCTAAGATTATAATTTCAGGAAGGGAAAAAATATTTCACAACAATCTATTTAAATTACATAAAAGATAGACAAAATTATAACTATTAACGAGTCTTTTTAAATTTAGTCTTTAGTGACGGTATTCTCCGTTTTAATTTTTAGGAGTTGTAGGTTTACAATTAGGAGATGAAGGTTCCTGTTTTTCCGGGGGGAAAAGTCAAAAAAAAAATGAAACTAGAAAACTGAAATAAATATTTTTTGTTTGACTCAACATTTTCATTATTTATTATAATCTAAATAAATTTTTGACTAATAAGTAGTTTATAATAATAATCATAATAAACAACAAAACACAATAATAAAGAAATTTACAAATTTCAATTATCAAGAGTAAACATTTCTTAAAATATTTTAATAAAAATAAATTTTTAAGTAGTTTATGAAGAGTAAACATATCTGGAAATATTTTTTGACGTATACAAATTGTTATTTTTTTTTAATATAATACATATAAGAATAATTTTATGAAAAAAGTAAAATGTAATGAAGATTTAAGATTTTAAAATTTAAATGAAAAATTTAAAATGTAAACCTAAATTTGATGCAAGTTTAATATAGACCGTTAGATATGTAACATTGTGTGCCACAATGTTCTTCATAGGGGGAAGGAATGTTGTGAGTTAAATATTTATTTTATTTAATTTCACGGGTTTTGGCAGTTTTTCTGTATGGTAGTGTGTACGATCTTAGGTGATCGTACATTTTCCCTAAAAATAGGCAAGGTTATTTGTATCTGGGCAGTTATTGACTAGAACCAAAGCATCAGACCGTCAGTTCGACGATAAGAAATGCTGAGTTTTGGTATTTGGTTAGTAATTGGTGTCACGCTGTAAGTGACTT